TGCAACCAGATTTGATTGATTTTTATGCTGCTGTTGCTTTTGTTTCTGTTGCGTTGTCGTAGCTGGTCATTAGGCAGACGCTCAATTACAAATTACTTGACATGTTTCCATATGCAAATGGCAATAATCGGCTTAAATAATTTTTAACTCGCTGTAAATAGATCGACCAAAGACTAATGACTTAGGCAAGGAACCTGCCTGGCCAGAGGCAAATGGACGTGAAACGCATGTTTGCGGCCATTGCTGTCCTGCTTTGCCAGTCGAACAATTCATAAATTGCATAAATGGAGCGAAAATCGCCGCAAAGCGAATGACTTAAGCTACAAACTTATACGGATAAACCCAAAAGACAGCACCAGAGACATGTTTCTTAGCTCAAAAATGCAGCCTAAATTAAACATAAACAAGTAAGAGGTTCTAGTCGGGAGCTCCCGACTAGGGGATACCCTGAACCCTTTTCTTCCAACATCAAATCCATATATAGATTCTATTTTAGAAGCTATATGCCAAGTTTGGGGACTCTAGCTCTTATTATTTACCAAAATTGCCCAAAAAACAGGATATCGATATAGATTTTGATCGATTGCTTCGAAACGGAGTAAGTTATCGATTATCGAAAACAAACCTGATCTGCGCAGGCACTAGGCGCACCTTCATCTAAAATTTCAAGTCTATAGCTCTTATATGTTCTGAGATCCTTGCGTTCATACATACGGACGGACGGACAGACAGACGGACATGGGTAGATGGACTCGGCTATTGATGCTGATCAAGAATATATATACCTTATGGGGTCGGAGATGCTTCCTTCTGCCTGTTACATACATTTAAATTTTGCACAAATACAATATACCCTTATATCCATTTTTAATGGGTTCAGGGTATAAAAAATTGATATATAAATGTTTATCTTAAAATCGTCGCAAAAAGAACGCCTTAAGTGACGAACTTGTGCGGATGAACCCAAAGACAGCACTAGAGATTTTTTAAGCTCAAGAATACTGCCTAACTTAACAATTAAATAGTGTTTTAAAATTGTTTATATTAAAATTAATGTATTATCTGTTGCCTCATTAAGTGATTTGAATTGCATCACAAATACGTTAAGACTGGCCGCCTAATGAACTAAGCTCACACTATTAATCAATGTGATGGATGAAGACAAAAAAATAGAAAAATAAACCAGTGCAGTTGCAGTTGCAGCATTTGCAACACAGCCTATCGATGTGTCAGTGGCAGGTGTTATCAAAACTGGTTCAGAGGGCTGTCAGCTAACAAGTTGACACTTTCATTATGCGCTGCAAAAAATATTTGGTATAAACAAAAACAAAATGTTTTCCGCATTTTTGGCGCGTATTTTAGATTCGTTACGTTTTGGCAGCAGGCAAAAAACTTGAGCGGGCCAAAAGCGACGAGTGCAGCTATTGGCAAGCCAAAAAACATAGTTTACTAGATGTCTGTGTGTGTGTGTGTGAAGTGAAAAGCAAAGCATGACAAAAACAACACACAGAAATTACTGGCAAAAAGAGCACCAACTAAAAGACAACATCAACATTTGGCGGCTGCTTTCCTTTTCATTTTTCATTTGGCCTGCACGCTTCAACTGGCTGGAGCCTGTCTACCAGGCAGAGCGTTCGCTCTGTGGCGTGCAGCCGCTGTAAACGTACCAATTTTAGCGTACCTACAACAACAACAACAATAACAACAACAGCAACAGACACAAGAGTAACAGCAGCAGAAACAGCTACAACAACTTTGAGCACTAAATTTTCCACGAGCGAGTGAGTTTGAAAACGAAACTGAATTTCTTTCTTTCAACAGGCAAGAAGCACAAAAAAATTAAAAAAAAAAGGTATATATTTATATGTATGTATATTCATGTGTTTGTATATATATTTATATAAAATTTATAAATTTATATTTATATATAAACGCAAACAGAGCTGCGCGTTACATGAGTTACGTTGACCATCATTAGTTGACTTAATAAATGTAGCCGCAGCTCAATGAAAGCCATGGCTATTTAGCTTTTTTTGGCGATTTGTACTTATCACACGCCTGCAATCAACAGCAGCAACAACAACAACAGCGGCATATCTGGTATTTTTTGTTGCGCGCTTTTCACTTTTCAAATACCCTATGAAAGCCACGAAAGTTTGGCATTTATTTATTACACATTGATGATGCTGCTGACGAGCGGAAATGTGAAGTAATAGCGCATACAGATCATAATATTTGTATGTGTGTGTGTGTGTTGGTTTGTATTTGTTTAACAAGCGTTTTGTTTGCCTGATTGCGGCCGTACAACAAACACCTTTTGTGGCCTACGCGTACACTTAAAACACAATTTATATGCCGCGGAACAATACCCCATGATTTAATGTTTTAATAAAGCTGCCCGTTGCCGTAAACTTACTCTGGGTATCCAGCTGCTGCTGCTGCTGTGCGATAAGCAATTAAAGGCCATCAGACACCGTCTGTCTAACTGGCTAATCGTTAGCCGCACAACAATCGTGAAAAACACGTGCCGCAGCACCATCTAAGTAATGCCACAATAACAATTTAATTAGCTCTTGATGGCTATAGTGCGGGCGTTAAGGCTTTCAACGTGCAGCAAATCAACTGCGTGAGTCGGGCCCTTTTTTTTATTTTGTGTAGTTCAACAAAATGTGTTTTCACACCTGCGCCCGGATGGGCCACAACCTTGATGGCTGCCAGTCCCAACTATGAGCTTATCAAGCTTCAAGTTGGAAAGAGCTAAAGACGAAGTAAGATGTAGCTTGTCAGATGAATCTAGCTGCTATTATAGGCAGTCAATCTGCCCTTTATGCATACACATGCTGCTTCTTTGCTTAGATCTAAACTACGTAATGCATTCTTGATTAACTTGAGTGCTTATGGTCAGATTATTCTGAAATTTTTAGGTCTTACATTTTTTTTTATGTGTGTCACCCACCGTTTGCTTTTCGGGCAACAGCTGCCCTTCTAATAGGCAGTTTTACATGGCGTGGACTTGAGGTCTTAAATATGGCACAGAGAAGTGTGTACATACCAAAGCGCAGAGCTGTACATTTAAAAGCTACTTTTTGGCAATTTCCAGGGGAATATGTGGAGGTATTCAAAATGTGAACTATTTTATATATAACATAAAGCAAACTACATACCAAGTTTGGTGAATCTATCGCTAAAAATCTTTGAGTTATTCAATAATTAATTTAGGAAATGTTGACAAAAGGTTCTGTTATTAATATTTGCCATGGGTATATATCAACACTTGGTAAGACGTGCAAAGATCCCATCGTTAACATTCTGTAATACTTAAGAATGTTCGAGCATATTGGCTATATACACATCCCAAATGTTGGCATGTGCTCAGCATCTGATTAACCCATTTTCCGCTAATGAACAAAGCCAATAAATTGTGCTTTGGCAACACACACACACCCAAATCTAAGCCAAAGTCAACGGAATTGACAGCTCATAAAAATGCGCATCGCATTTGAAAACAGAATTTGAAGAAATGCCAGGTGAAGAATGAAATGTTGGCTAGACAAAAGTGTGACACCGGTTTTTTAAATTGTGAAAAAAAAAACAACCCTGCTCCGTGTTAAACTATATGAAACTAGGATTAATATATTGGCAAAACCTTGTCGAAGTGAAGGGAGTTGTTTTTTTTTTTATTTATTTTTTTTTTATTTTTTGGGGCAGTCATGCACTTTGACACGCTGCAAGTGGGGCCCAACAGCAGTAGATGTGTGTATATATTTATTTAAATATGTGTATATATGTGTCGATTGTGTTGTGCATTGCGCATGCGCCGCATTGTGTCATTGCTGTTGTTGGTTGCTGTTGTTGTTATTTTTGTTTTCGTTGTTGTTGTTGTTACTGCTGTTGCTGTCATTGCGTTTGTAAGTTTGCCACGACCTTTTTTTATGTCTGCGCGCACGAAAACTCATTTGTTCATGCATATTGTTGTTGTTGTTGTAGTTTTTCTTTAGTTGCTTCTGAGAAAATGAAGTCAACTGTTGTTGTACGCCTGTGACTGACATTTCCCATTAAATTGCCACGTTATTGTCTAAAGTTGTAGTTTTTCTGTGCTTGATTTTTTTTTGGTTCTTGCTCTCAGCTTGTGCTTTGGGGCAGGGCGTGAGTGAGGCAATGTGAACTTTGCATATTTTAGTAACTGCATTTTCAACACGTCTCGCAGATTGTGTGTCTGTCGGTCTGTCTTGCCTGTCCGTCCGTTTGCCTGGCTGCAGCTTCTTCTTATACTTAAGCACTTTTATGCGATTGTTTACATTTATGGCTGCATAATTGGGCGTCTCTCGCGGCAACTGTTGCCAGTCGTTGTATACACTAATTGACTCCCACCAAAGAGGCGACTGTCTGCCAAGCCATGCACCCCGACTTCCTTCCTCGACAATTGTTGCAACACCTACTGCAATTCTTTGCTGTTGTGTTTTTTAGGCACGTCGCAGCTTTATTAACTGCATTTGTTTTTGGAGGCGTGCTGACGACTCATCATTCGGTTGTGCGTGTTCGTGTAGGTCTCTCTCAGGGCCAACCAGCCAGCCAGCCTGGCTGACTAGACTCGCGACCCTAGTCGCAGCTCTTGACAATCTGCACTAATAGTTTTAATTAAAGCTACAAAACATATCCAGTTTGGTTGCGGTAACTCATAAATATACATTTAGTTAAAGTTTTTGGACAGGTTTTCTTTGTCGAGCAGCAACAACCTTGAGCCGCGTTTTAATATTGAAACACGAAAACGAAACCAAAACTTTGCTACATGAATAAAACGTAATAATAAAAAAATAAGAAGAAGCAGAAAATGAGCGTAACAGGAAGTGCACGGCAGGGCATGGCTATGGAACGTGCGAATAACTGCATGGAAATACCTTGGGCTAAATGTTACGCATACGCCGTGTGGCCCGCATGCGAGGGCCGTGTTGCATGCAGCTTTCTGCATATGCTACATGCGTGTCTGACATGTTACTCACCTTTTGCTCAATTATTTTCTGCTGCAGTTGTTGTTGTAAATGTTGAAATTGTTGCAAAATCTGTAGATATTTTCCCAATGATTACGTTTGCAGACGCTTGGCAGCCGCTCTTGTTGCACTTTCAATGCTGTAACAATGATTTATTTTCTATTATTAATTATTTATATTTATTTTATAATATAACTGTGCGCTTTTCACTCTGCCACCTGCTGCCTTGTTGACAATTTAATTGTTGTTTGCGTTTCACTTGTTTTTTTTTATATTAATTTTGACAAAACTGGTTTTTGTTAAAATTTCTTAAAAATTTAACTTGACATTTTTCAACGTTGTGAAAAGCTTATTAAATTTCGTTCAGCGTACTTTTTGTGTGTCTAATTTCTAATGATTTTCTTTGCTTTGCTTTGCATTTCTTTCGATTTTTTTTATTAATAATTTCTTAATAAATGTAACTTATATTTGTTTTGGAACGCACTTCAGTTGCATAACGACTGCGCGCACTAAAATTTTTTTTTTTTTTATTGTATGCGAATGACGATGACGAAGAAGATGATGCTGCTGCTGATGAGCTTGGCTTCTTCTTTTTGTTGTTGTTTGTTTGTTTGTTTTTGCTTTTAGCCACTGTAACACGGCACCAGCTTACTCGACGTGTATGTGTGTGTGTGTGTTTGTGTGTGTGCCGCACCGACAGCAACAAAAGCAACTGGCAAACGCACTCGACGACTTTCGCGACACGACTGACGACGGCCAAGACGGTCTTGGCTACAAGCTGGGCCCGGCTGGCTGGCTGGCCTTACCGTAAGTTCGGTTACGTTGGCCGTTTCTCGTTTCGGGCTTTGGCTCTTTATTGTTGTTGTTTGTTTGAAACTTTTGCCTCATGTCTTAACTTGGCTTAATAGCATTAAGCGTGTCGAAGCTTGCAGAGCGCCAAAACTGAAGCTTTTCAAACATTGCTCAGCTGAACCAAGCTTAAGAGTGGCTGCTGCTGTGCTCTCTTCGTTTGGCGCTCTTAAGCTGTTATGGCGCATGCATGTCTTGGACGGGTCAAAAGGCTGTTAGCCAAAAGCCATAATTCTCAGCAGACGGCGTTGATTTGCATATTTTTAATATAAATCAACTGCCAGTCAAAGCTTTCTATGTGATAATTACATCACCTACAGATGCGACGATCTTTGCCATTTCTTTTTTACAAATTAAGGCTTTTTTTGGCCGTCTACGCGTATTTATTAAGTTGCTAACTGAAAGCTTTTGCCGATAAGCGCGCAGCAACCGAATCGGCCAGTAACCAGTAACAAGATAATATATAATATACATTATAATACACACATTTTATGCCCATAACGGCATTTTTTTTTTAAATTAAATCTTGATGCGCTGCTTAATTCTAATGACATTTTGAAGGTCGCTTGAGCGCGGCATGTGGCTCGTTAAATGTCAAAATGCTTTCAGTTTAATGATTCTTACAATACGCCCACAACATGTGGGCAAAATGGAAGACTTAGGCGACAAAGGTAACACTAGACAGAGTCGTAAATCAGAGCAATCAATGCTGCGGCTTCAAGATTTATGTGACAGCAATTAAACAAGCTGAGCAATTGCGCCTTTGTTGCAATAAATAATACATATATTTATATAAATATATAATACAAATAATTATATGTTATGTGCAATGTTCAACAAGTGCAGCGCATTTGCATAAAAATTCAAAGAACTGCTGCACAGCGTTTGGCTCTATCTCATAAACCTGCTCAACTGCACAGAATATAATTACAAAATCAAAGCAAATATATGCTGGCAGCGCGTCAATTAAAAATGCCAGACCAAAGTGCCAGCCACTAACTAGTTGCCTTACCTGATCATAGTTGCTGCTGCTGCTGCTGGACCATTTCATGAGATTAATGAATTTTGAGCCCTGTATGTATATGATGGACAGGGTATATAATATTGGGTATGTTCTTAGGGGCAATAAAGTCTTGGCTCATTGGAAATGTTAAATATATATTCTAAGTCGATTCAAGTGCTTTATAGCTATATAGAATGTTCGGGGAAACATCTCTGCTCTGTGCAATGCCCAGGGTATCTGGCAGTCTTGCTCTTACAAACGCTTCATTCTAACTAGTTAACATTTTGCCAGCGCTTGTGGCAGTGGTTTTTTGCTGCCCAATGCTGCACCCAACCGCTGGTCGCCAGCTGGGGCAAGCAAAGATATCCAATTGAAACTGAAAATCAAATAAAGTTCTGGCCAGGCATGATTGACGCAGCAGCAGGCAGCTCGAGTTCAACAATGCTGGGAATGTCTTGAAATCGCAGCTAGTTAAATTATAATACATACGTTGGCTGACACTGGCTGTGAGCTGCGCCAAGTTCGTTGCCTAAGTCTTTTGTTTGCCTTGCCTGGCTGTCCATTGTTGTGGCGTATCAATAACAAACAGGCATACACACGCGCACAAACATTTTTCACACACTTTTTAATTTGTTTAAATAAATATCAAGCACACTCAACTAAATGACTTCATTTTTTCGGGCATAAAGCATTACCTAATACACGAACCAGACGGAGCAGAGCATGATTCTCCTAGCCAATGGCACTGTTTGTACAAATCCGTACGGTTTTTTGTGATGTTTTGACACCAAACAAAGCGCCGCCACTTTATAAACATTTAGTTGGGTGCTAATTAGGGCAACAACAAAAACAACAGCAGAGAGCAGCAGCAATCGCGACTAGCAGCTATCCAAGTTTTTATGCGCACTTTTGTTTAGTTTTAATGGAAGCTATTATCAAATTATGAGCAACGCACTCATGATGGTATCATAAACGCCGCAAATACCTGCTCGCTGTGTTAGTGGGCGACGTCTCTGTTCAGCATACAAATAAATCCACGAAATGGCCTGCATTTAGCTGGAAATTATGAAGTATTAAGCATGCAGCGCATGGCAAACAGGAAAAAAAAAAAAAACAAAGAGAGAAGCAGCAGCTTACAATTTGCACTTGTTACACTTCAGCTTTAACTGGGCGTTAACTTCATGAAATCCCATGTTTGGCATTCATTCCATAACATTGGCATGCGGCATTATATAATACCACCCAAAAAAAATATCGATTGGACGCGATCATGAAACGAAAAGTGAAAGATTTTTTATGTCTGTGTCAAGTGAAAGACAAAATAGCTCTTTGGCTTGTGCTTCGGTCTAATTAGGCATAGAGAGAAATACATAATTGTTTTTTATTGAAAGCCAATTAAAGTCAAGTTCAAATGGCGCACCTCTTGCCGTGCCACAACAAAGCTCCACACAGCCTCGTGTATTTGTAATTAAAATTAGGCGAGCGTTGAAAATTTGCGAAGGAAACACAAAATTATTTGGGTAAAGGTAAGCAAAGCAAAAAAGCTCTGTACATTGCCTGCGGTTATACTTGCTTAAAACTAAGACAAGGCAGCTTTTAATGTTTTTTTTTTTTTTTTTTTTTTTGAATATTTTTCAAGCAAGTGTGAATTAAACATATAAACAAAACTTTGTCTAGCTGTACCAGAAATGAAAATTTTAATTTCTTTATTAGGTCATTTATCGGGGATGTATTATAAAAACTTAATGTATATTAATGTATTTATAGTAGAAATAAATCGCATACCAAGTTTTTGAGCTGTTGTTCTTATACTTCCTGAGATCAGGGGTACGAAAACCAGAGAAACGTATTTAAAAAAACGTTTACATAAAGAATTATTAAATCATTTTTGAGCTCTATTTCTAGTTTTTAAAACTTTATGTACATTTAATATAAATATTGATAGCACAAAGCATAAAAATATTCTTATGTATAATATATTTTAATTTATACAATAGTTTTATATATACATATTTTAAATATTTATTTCACAAAAACTTATACACATATTTTGTCTGCGCATTTTCTTATAGTTCGCGAAATCATGGGACAGGTTAATAGACTCAGTAAATATATATTGAAAGCTCCAGATCTTATAGTTCCCGGCATTCAGAGGTAAGTTGTTATTCAACCATGAGATACATTTTTATACCCTGAACCCATAAAAATGAGTATAAGGGTAACAGGCAGAAAGAAGCATCTCCGACCCCATAAAGTATATATATTTTTGATCAGCATCAATAAGCGAGGCGATCTAGCCATGTCCGTCTGTCTATCCGTCCGTCCGTCCGTATGTATGAACGCAAGGATCTCAAAACATATAAGAGCTATAGACTTGAAATTTTAGAAGGTGCTCCTAGTGCCTGCGCAGATATCGATATCCTGTTTTTTATGCAATTTTGGTAAATAATCAGAGCTAGAGTCACGAAACATGATATGTTGCTTCTAAAATAGAATATATATGCATTTGATGTTGGAAGAAAAGGGTTCAGGGTATCCCCTAGTCGGGAGCTCCCGACTAGAACCTCTTACTTGTTTAAATATTGATATTATAAAGAACTTGTAAGCTCTATTCTTAAAGTTCTCGAGTTTAATGGGTAAAATTTGGGAAATATATTATATTTAAAATGGTGATATTATAAGGAACTTGCAGACTGTCTGTAAGTTCCAGTTATTACAGTTCTCGTACTGGACGGGTTCATAAAGCTCATCAGATATAAATATGAGGCACCCTGTTGGTGCTCATCCTCAGTATATATGCATTACAGGGTCGTTGCGGTCATTTGCTTGCTGCTAGCCTGCTTTACTTTTTGTATTATATTCCCTTTTTTTATAACAATTTGTAATGATAATAGTAACACAAGCAATATGCAAAACACTTGAATTAAATTTTGTAGGGCTGTAATTTTGTTATTTAGTAAGCTGTCAGCGGCTGTCATTAGCGTTAACTCGAGCCTTGGCTTTACCCATCTTAACTCCATGTTTGCACTTTGTAAAAACAAATAGAAGAAAACATAAACAAAAACAAAAAAACACAAGACGAAAAACCAAAATAATAAAAAAAGAGACACAAAGTTCAAGTCCACAGCAGATGTGGGTAACATTGACCCGACACGCCGCTTATCGTCAAAAGCCGCAGACGCTGCAGCTCATTCATAAACCTAACGCAGCGTGTACTTTTATATATAAATATATGCATATACATATACATTTGTGTGTGTGTGTGTCCGATCAATGCCACGCGGCACTCATAAATAGTTGCTTAAATATATATTGTTGTTATTAATTTACTTTACTTTTTGGCAAATTATTCTTCTGGTCTGGTCCAAGCAAAAGACTCACGACACAAACGCGCACTTCCTCAGAGCAATCAGCATTTGCCAAATACACAATTACAAAACGGAAACGTGTGTGTGTGTGTTTTGTGCGAAATGATATGTGATTTGGCGTCATATAATACGCATATTCATAGTTTTATAAGCCGCTAAAAGTCAAGTGAGTCGAGTTCTTGTGCCGGGCCTAAGCCAGCGCCGGGTAATCAATGCCGCTCGATCAGCGCCACTTGGTCGCCTTTTGTTCGATTCCGTCGAGGGCTGGCTTGAACTTGATGCCAATATGTCACACACTCGAAAAGCACTCGACAACACACACGCATTCAAATGGTTGACTGTTTAGCTTAATTAAATCATTTAATGAAATGATTGTGCGTTATTTTAACATTTGATGCGAAGGCTAACACCAAGTAGACAAACTGCTGTGCTAGGAGCAACTTTCAGCTCTATCGGCGATTGCGCAATGGGACATAGTAAAAAAGGAAAAAAGCCAACCCTTTTGGCTTGGATATG